CCTGCGCGCCGCCGCGCTGCTGCTCTCCTTCCGCAGCGACGCGCGCGGCCACGCGCAGGGCTTCGCGCTCACCTACCGCGGTGAGAGCCCGCCTCGTCGCCCTGCGCCCGCTGCCCCGCCACCCTGCCTCACACTTCTCTCCGCAGGGCTGCAGGACGCTGCCGACGACCGCGCGCCCCAGGGCTCGGCCCAGACCCCCGCAGCGTCCCCTGACTGGGCCAACGTGAGCTGCAGCCCCCGGCCTGGGGCTCCGGAGGCCGCGACGGGGGGTGAGGCGGGCACGCGTGGCGGGAGGCAGTTTGGGGAGCAGCTCCTCCCAAACCCTGCCTCACGGCACCGTGTGCCCGCAGCCCGGGTCTTCTCGACAGTGACGGCCGTCTCAGTGCTGCTGCTGCTGCTGCTGCTGCTGTCGCTGCTGCGCCTGCTGCGCCCACGGTGCGCCCGCTGGGGCAGGGCCTGAGGGCGGACGCAGCTGGGCGCCTGACGCCTCGGTGCCCAGGGGGCCCTGGTGGGAAGCTGGGGCTTTCAAGGGGAACGCGGCTGGGAGGCAATCCCGGGTTCTTGAGGGACGAGGGCTCGCGTCCACACAGGGAATCGCGCGCGGGATCGCAGGCGGAGCAGGACGCTGGAGGTAAGATTGGTTGGGGGTTCAGCTGACATCTGCTCCCTCTCTAGGAGCTGTCTACTGGCTCCGGGGAAAGGGCCCCCCGCGTTGGGGCCTTCCCGGGGCCCCGGGAGAAGCTGGGCTGTGTGGTACCGCCGGCCTCGAGGGGTGGCCCTGCCCTGTCCCCCTGGGGACCCTCAGGCTGAGGTTCTAGCCGCGAGTTACCGGCCCCTGAGCGCCTCCAGCCAGAGTTCCCTGCGTTCGCTCATCTCTGCTCTCTGACTCGGGATCCCTAGGGTCCACTGGACCCTCTGCCAGTGGAATGGACGTCTCAGACTCCCTGCCGCACTCTACGTTGACCTTCCGCCCCTGTAAGGACAGCTCGGTCTCTGATCATCTCCTGGAGGCCAGACATTGGACAAGAAGCCTCTGGTGCTATTACTGAGAACTTGGTCTGACCCTCGAAGGTCCAGATGGTTGAGGCCAAAGGGCAAGAGGAATCTGGCTCCCCTCCCCCATAAACCTTAATACCGGGGTCTCTGACTTCAGGTTGCTTTTAGAACTTGTTGGGGTGGTTCTGGACTGCTGCCCTAAGTGAAATGTGAGAGGTCAAGAAAAGTAGTTAAAAGGCCAGCCATAGATTCTGAATAAAGGACCTATTTTGGTACAGGGCTCTCTGCAAGTTCTTGCGTGACAAGAAGAGTTATGTTAATGAGCCAAAGCTGGGTGTATCCGTACAAAGTAAGGTCGGTCCAAGCCTAGAGTGCTTTGGAGCTGCCGGGAAAGTTTAGGACCGAGGAACGGCGGAGGCGGAAGGATGGGTGGACAGGGTCATGGAGAAGGGGAGGAGGGGGAGGAGGAGGAGGAGGAGGAGGAGGAGGAGGAGGAGGAGGCGGTTGTGGGCGGGGTTAAGCCGGAAAAGGGATGCATTCCTGGACCCGCCTTAGAATGAACTCGGGCAGGGACGGACCTTTCTCCCGTGACCTCCTGCCCTATCTTCCCCTACGTTTCCTGTCTTTTCTGGGTGGAACCGAAGTGCCTCGCAGTGGGCGATAACAGGGAGAGTTTGACCGAGCTCAGGCTACAAGAAGCCCGGCCTGAAGGGCAGGGCATCGCCCGAGGGCGCTCGGCGCGTCAGACACACGTGTGAGGCCTGGCCACTCAGCGCGGCTTGCTGCGCTCTGGCCGAGTCTGGCCGGCGGAGATCACCCCCCTGGCTGGAGTGGGGACGCGCAGGCTCTAGACCTGACTGGTCCGAAGGTCCGGGACCGCCAGCACCTTGGACAGAGCCCGGGTGAGGGGTGGGGCTTGGTGGCGACGAGGGTGAGTGCCCCAGGGTGCGTCGACCTAGGGGGTCGCGCAGAAAGCCCGGGCGCGTACGGCAGACTCTAGGCGCCGGGGTCACTCCAGCAGAGCCACTGGGACCCAGAACGTCGGATCCCAAGCCCACAGCTACCCCATGCAAATGAGGCTGGGAGCGCATATATTATGGTAATCACGCTAAAGTCTGGGCGGGCGTGGGTGGGGCTTCCCCGCCAGCCTCACCCATTGGCCCTCGCAGCGTCGACGTCACGAGTACCGCGCGCGAAACGCCGGCGGGATGGCGGGGGCGAGCTGCTGGGGCGGAGCCTGGCGTCCCCACCAGCGTCCGGCCGCGCCCGTCCTCCCGGCTGCGAAGGGACGACTGACCGCTGCCGCCTCCGCGAGCTGTCCCTGCGGCGCACCTTCCCCAGCGGGACCGGT